TCCCCATGTCCGCGTCAGTTTCCTCCAGGTACTCCGGTTTCCCCTACCACTAAAAACATGTACAATAGTTTAGGGTAAATGAGTGTGTGTTTGTGAGTGCGAATGTGGGACAACGGATTCAAATTAGTACAAGATATATTGTTACGTCTCCAAATACAGTCATGTGTAATTTTACTGTAGTTTTTGAAAACACAGAGTGTAAACTTTCACAATGAAAACATGACTAAGTCATTTGACTGTGTTGCTCATACTCAATGTTGTCAGGACATATTATTTTGACGACACAGACCGTTTCATTGACCTGCTTGCTTGCTTTTGAGGAATTAACTTTTCATTTTGAGAAGGTGATGCACTTTTACAGGTTATCCACGAGGTTCTGCAGTTTGCACTAATTGTTTTGAGAAATGCACTAACTGTTGTGAAAATGTGAAGAGTGGTGTGAGAAATGCACCAAAGCAAATGAGAAAAACTGCAAAGTCCATAAATATAGAATCATGAATGACTGAAGTATTATTTAAAGTGTTCAAACCTCATGAAGCTGAGTGCTGCATCGGCTAAAGTGGCGATGGGAGAGAACCATTAGGACTTGTCAAAATGGAGGCCTCGGTGAAAAATGTTTTTACAGGTGCCCCAGAAGCCTTGAAAATGTGCTACTCACATAATTTACATTCAGAAGGTCAAGTGTCTCTTGAAAATGCCTAAACTATAACCTGAAGTTGAATGTTTAGTTTCTCTTTCAGCCCGCGGCTATTTATTGATTGATGATTGGTAAATTTGTGCAGCAGTGAGTGGCGTGTGTGTGATGGATGTGTGTGGCTGAGGGCGGGCCTTCCCTGAGCCTGTCCATGTGAATTATGGAAGCAGCTAATGGAAGATTCTAGAGAAACACGATCTGGTGGGTTTGCAGGGAAGACTTTAATCTTCTCTTTTTCTCAGATCTTGTTTTCCTGATTAGTCATCACAACTATTCATACTCACAGATAGACAGCAGCAGAGATAAAAAAAAGGTTTTCTAATTTCAGTCCATTACAAATGTCCCAAACTGTCCACATTAAATGAAACGTATTGATCAAAAAGCCTTATCCACCACACAACCTTGGTCTTCAAAAACAGATCTGGAGCTGTGTTTAGATCCATCCAGGAACTTCTGTCATAAACATGTAACTCTGCCCCTTTTGTGTAAAAGCTCCTGTCTTAGTCCTGTAATGTACCACTATGACATCACACACAGTTTTCTGCCTTTTAAAACAAAAGTATCGCCCATAAAATAGTTTTGGCAATTTCTCAGGTTTCATTTGCTACAACTGATTATTCAAAACAAAAAATTGAACCCCTTCTTCTGTCTCGAAACAATTGTTACCCTTCATGAAAATGAAATAATCTTACACAAATATATGTAAGATTATATTTGTGTAAGATTATTTCATTCTAAAACATGAAAAATAAAATAATAATAATAAAATAAGATTAATATTCCAATACAACTAGCAATCTATTTAGCTTAAGACGATTACATATCAACAATAGAGTGGTCAGGTTTTTTTTAAATTAAAAAGCGGTACATGTCCCACATGTTATCACATCACTAATAATCACATTGTGTATAACTAATCTACATTATCGGTTGTTTTTGTCTTTTTCCACCTTTTTCTTTACTATTTTGTTGAGGCAAATGGCAATGTATTTCTTACTCTACTCTCTTTTACTGGGTCAAATATATACAGTCTGTGGTCAAAACATATGTTCTCAGGTTGTCCATCGTGTTCTGCTGAAAGATCTTCATTGGCTCCAGATTCAGGCATAAATTGACTTTAAATACTCATGCTCATAAATACTTCCTTGTTCAGCTTGTCCTTCTTTTCCCTACGGGGACAATAAAGTATAACTGAACTCAACTGAACTGAACTGAACTGGACTTCTCATGTTTGGTGCACCTGTTTTTACGCACATTGAATTTCATGAATTAATGACATTTTCTGTATAAATACATTATCCTCACTATACCAAACACACAATTGAATGATAGCTCACCAAGATTAGTCCTATACGCACCTGTATCCTGTTCATTAAACTGTCAGATAACTGCTTTTCTTTTGCAATAAGTGTATTTTAATCCATCATCATGACAGTTAGAGGAACTCCATTTTAAACATCAGAATTACTTTTGCATTTTAAACATTTTCTTCAACATGTGGCCACAAACTGAGGCAGTATGTAAAAAGTATGATTTCTTCGTTTTTAAAATGTGAAAAGCTACAATCTTCAGCATGCGTTGATATCGGCAGAAAATTTGAAATAATTTGCTGAAGAAGTGATGAAACTTATTTGTAAGCCATTAAAATAGATCTGGCTTTAAAACAAAAACCGTCTTGCTAAGGATCGAATAATAAATGACCACATTAGTCCAGTTCTCAGGTCTCTGCACTGGCTTCCTGTGGCTCAGAGAATAGACTTTAAAACAGCTCTGCTTGTGTGTGTAGTCTCTCCATGGCCTCGCACCAAAATATATTAGTGACATGTTAGTCCCATATGAACCAGCCCGGACTCTGAGGAGCACAGGGACTGGACTCCTGTTAGTGCCCAGAGTCAGAACTAAACATGGGGAGGCTGCTTTTCAGATTCATGCTGCTAAAATCTGGAACAATCTTCCTGAAGATGTGAGACAGGCCTCCTCTCTGACAATGTTTAAAACCAGGTTAAAAACAGTTCTGTTTAGCTGTGCATACAACTGAGGGATTTTATATGTTCATCTATCTTTTTAATGTTGTGATTATTTATGATTTTAATGCTTTCTTGTTTTGTTCAGCACTTTGAGTTGCCTTGTGTATGAATTGTGCTATACAAATAAACTTGCCTTGCCTTGCCTTAAGCCTTTTCAGATACAAATATCACTCATCTGTAATTTCAAATGAACTATTCATCTCTTATAGTTTTGTCCCACCACCGTGGCTTGCACTAGAGTAAATAGGATTAGGTTTAAAACGTACATAAATTGAGAAGTCCGGATTTCTAAATGCAATAATATAAACATTCGGTTAAAAACTACGCTCTTTATCTATTTTGTTTGTATAAAATGTTAAATAAAAAAACGCCACATTAGTTCCAAGCCATGTGCCAAGTTCAGAAAGCGTAAATAACAGTCAAGTTATGTAGATGTAAACATTTGCAGCGGTGTGTTTTAACAAAACAAAAACTCAACGTCTGTTTAATTCTTAAAAAACATCACATTTTCTAAAACTAGTTTTTCAAAGTTGAATAAATGCTCGTTATGAACTGATATGAACGTATGAATCTGTATCCTTGCGCACGTACACTCCTAATGCTCTGAATGAGAGAGTGTTTTATTGTGAAAAGGTGTTTCCGGAAGTGCGTTTGATCCTGAGGAGAGCGGGGAGTTCGTGCAGCTTGTCCCCGGCCCTTGAGCTGTGTTTCTCGGCTGGAGGTTAGCGTCTCTCCCGCTTCTGCCACTCTCCATGGAGCTCTCATTCACGGACTAGACCTCAGCTCACGGACAGGTTGAATTCATTCTCTAATATCTTTTTTGTAGCTAATATACGCTTTATACATTTTAGTAATTAACTATGTGGATGACATTTTTACCTAATTTTCAATCATACAAGATGCATGGTTGAAGTGTTGTATTAACATTATCTTTATCTTTATAAACATATAATGAGAGTGCAGGGTTTTGAGCTTACACGAGCCTTATTTTATAGGTAGTAGTAGTTGTAGTATTATTAGTTGTAGTAGTGGTAGGAGTTGGAGTAGTAGTAGCAGTATAATTCATTTTGGAGTTCTTAATGTATTTTTCACTGCAACTTGTTGTAGTACTAGTAGTAGTAGTGGTAGGAGTGGTATTAACTACTACTAGTAATAGTATATATTTATCATGCAGTTGTTTATGAATTTTTTACTGAAACTTGTGTGTTTATTAAATGTGCTAGCTTACATAGATACTTATTTGATTTGATCGAGTGAATGGAAAAAAATTGACCTTGTGTTACGAAAGATATTTTAAAAATGGATAACTATGCAATACACACCTTGTGCAGTCATTTACTGTAAAGCTGGAGTGCCACCTGTTGTTTGAACGAACGACAAGATAAACTTTATTGATCTCACAATGGAGAAATTAGCTAAGTGATAGAAATAAACTGTTTTGGTTAAATAGTTCCATTTAGTGTGGTTTGAAAGTTAGGTACATCAGGTAAAACACACAAGGTTTGAAAAATCGTTTGAAAATGCCCATATGTATATTTTGTATAAACGCTGCTTTGTCTCCCTCTTGTGTTCACATGAGAGTATTACAGGTGTGTTTTAGAGTTAGAGTCTGTCAGCTCTAGTCACACTCAAAATAAGAATATTGAAAAATGAACCGACAGACATTCATTCTGTTTGAAATCTCAATGTGAATGGATATTGTGCGAATTAATAATTAGGAGGTTTCAGAAATCCCTTGAAGGATATTGATAGAATGGACTCATTCTGAAGAAAGACTTTATGTTTGTTTAAAGCTAATTTGTGGTTATTGTTGTGTAATGAATACAAAATTATATGAATCTGTGTTTGGAAATTCCTTTTCTGAACATATTACAGTTAGTACAGTTATGTTTGTATTGTGACAACTCGCACAAAAATAAAAGGTGTTTTTTGATGATTTAGTTTTTATAGATTAAAATAAAGGATGTGGTGGTTTTGCGGAGACAATGAGGTATAACATGTTATTGTACTATATTCTCATTTGGGAAGAGATTATGGCTGATAATACATTAAAAAATACTGTTATGTCACTCTACCTTCTATAAAAAAAAATGTCTTGGTGAGTTTGCAGTTGTGAAATAAGTTTGTATCTATATTATAAAGGTTTGCGTGGAAAAACAACGACAACCTGAGAGTGTAGACCCAGCTTCCCCAAGAGTCTTTTTGATGAATATTTTGAGGTAGTAATATGTGTCTTTTAAAGTGATTTATTACATTTCCTCAGTTGAAGTCTTTGTAGAATGACCTCAGGACTGGTGTGTGTGTCTCAGGTTGTGACCATGTGCTGGAAGCTGCTCTTCCTCGCGGTGCTTCTGAGTTGCTCACAGTTCGGACTGGGTCAGCAGAAACTCAGGAAAACACAACGGGACGACAACCGTGTGCTGCTCAACAAAGCTAAAGGTCTGTTGCTAGCCGAAAGTTTTTGTATGTTGAGTTAGTATTTGGGTTGATAACGGCGACTGGCTGCACTTTTCCACCAAAAATGTCCATTATTATTGTTGTGTAAAAGCAAAGGAAGGTTTCTCACCCATCATCTGTACTTCTTAGCAGGTTTTCCCGACGTTTCGTCCTCAATCCAAAGGACTTCTTCTTCTTTCCCTGAAGAAGTCCTTTGGATTAAGGACGAAACGTCGGGAAAACCTGCCAAGAATTACAGATGATGGGTGAGAAACCTTCCTTTGTTTTGACGAATCCCTGTACGACTGAGGGCTTACACAAACTTATCGTTGTGTATGTGTGTTCCTTCGGAGCCCATCATCTGCATCTGTGGCCATTTGCTTTATGATGAAGTACTTATAGTCAACATTAGATTTTCTGTTCAGGTAGATTTTATTCTGGACACAATGAGTTCAGTTTTATTTGGACTTAACCAAAACTGGACCAAAGGTTTAGCTTAGTTTAGTTTAGTCTTTCGTTGAGAGGTACAGTGCACAGCAACATAAAGCTCATAGACAGATATGTTCTTCACCAGATTATAGCTCAACAGCTCGTTTTGATCTGCAGGTGAACTATCCATTTGCATTTTAGGTTTATGTTTACAATAAATTAAATATTATGATTGTATTCTTGTGTGTTCAGGCTGTAGATCCAGGTTGTAGATCCACGCTGTAGATCCAGGCTGTAGATCCAGGTTTTAGATCCAGGCTGTAGATCCAGGCTGTAGATCCAGGCTGTAAATCCAGGCTGTAGATCCAGGCTGTAGATCCAGGCTGTAGATCCAGGCTGTAGATCCAGGCTGTAGATCCAGGCTGTAGATCCAGGCTGTAGATCCAGGCTGTAGATCCAGGCTGTAGATCCAGGCTGTAGATCCAGGCTGTAGGTCCAGGCTGTAGATCCAGGCTGTAGATCCAGGCTGTAGATCCAGGCTGTAGATCCAGGCTGTAGATCCAGGCTGTAGATCCAGGCTGTAGATCCAGGCTGTAGATCCAGGCTGTAGATCCAGGCTGTAGATCCAGGCTGTAGATCCAGGCTGTAGATCCAGGCTGTAGATCCAGGCTGTAGATCCAGGCTGTAGATCCAGGCTGTAGATCCAGGCTGCAGATCCAGGCTGTAGATCCAGGCTGTAGATCCAGGCTGTAGATCCAGGCTGTAGGTCCAGGCTGTAGGTCCAGGCTGTAGGTCCAGGCTGTAGATCCAGGCTGTAGATCCAGGCTGTAGATCCAGGCTGTAGATCCAGGTTTTAGATCCAGGCTGTTGATTCAGTGAAATGAAAATGCGAACAACATGTGTGTGTTGTTGCAGTGCTGCTGTGTCCACTGGAGGTGCTCTTCCTCCTGGACAGCTCAGAGACAGTCAGAGGTCTCCTGTTTGAGCGGCAGAAGAAGTTTGTCTCTGACCTGGCTCCTCGGCTCATGCAGCTACAGTCTCCTGGGTGGAGGATGAGGGTCCGGCTGGCTGCGCTGCAGTACAGCAGCACTGTGTCTGTGGAGCACAACTTCAGGGACTGGCAGGACGTGGATGTGTTCCAGAGCAGAGTGGCCTCCATCAAGTTCATTGGACACGGCTCCTACTCTGCCTACGCCATCGCCAACGCCACCAAGGTGCGCCACAATCATTCTATTTCACACACGCTCATGGACTTAAAGGGGTACATAACTTTAAACCATGCACAATTGAACTATGTGATAATCTCCATCACACTGGTTCCTCACTTCCAAAACAGTTTTCTTTAATTACTAGTTTTCACATGAATGTATTTTTGGCCTATGCCACATTATTTTCAGCTTTTTCAGACAGAATGTGTCTGCCCAAAGTGTCAAGTAGTGACTCACAATAGTATGTTTTCTAATGAGATGAAGACAATTCAATTACATTTTTAGAAAATGACTTTACTTTATCTATATATTCTGTCTGTACCCTGCTAATTTAAGTTTTGTACTTGTTTGGAGGATGAAGTTAATTTAAGTTAAAATTCAAAAAAAAAAATTCAAATCTGCACAGAAAACATCTCTCAGTACAACATGACAGATATACGTCCAACTCCGTCCATTATTAACAAGGGCCATGTTGGTGAACTCTAGACTCACATTTATCTCTACACATAGAACCCTCTGGAACAGGACCTACCCGTGTACTCGCCCTGACGCAGTCGTGGACTCATCAAGTGTCCACTGCGCTGAACATTTGAAACCAGAAGAGATCAAAGACCTTGTTCAATGTAAATCCAATGTTCAAAAAATAATGACCTTCTGAAAGCACATCTGCTCTGGACATAAGTCTGAGGTTTCTTATTGACTAAATTTAGAACAAGCAGAAACATTTTATTGATCACAGATGTGTAGAGTCTCACCTGTAGCATGTGCTGATGAGAGCCACTTACGGCCGTCGCAGATCCAGAATCTGACCATCAACTGCCCCATGCAGTGGCAGCTCCTGAAATGTTCCAGAGATCATGAACAGAATAAGTAATAGTAATAGTAGCATCAGCAGGTAAAGTGACTAGTGAATTATCAGAACAGACTGTTGTGCAGTCTGACAGCAGCAGGAAGGAAAGACGACGAAGGTGGATCACTGAAAACACACCATGTGTGTGTTGTGTATCAGGAATTCTCTTGGCAGAGGTCCCTCAACAGTCTGCATGTGTTGTGTGTGTATTTTGTGTGTCATATGTATGAATTGTGTATTGTGTGTTGTATAACAGGTGTTCTCTCGGGAGACCTCCCCCAGCAGTGTGCGTGTGCTGGTGCTGCTCACAGAGGGCGGGGACCACCCCCGCAGCCCCAGTGCTGTGTCTGCGGCTGCGGAGGCAAAGCAACACAACATCCAGGTGTTCACTGTGAGGCTCTCTGCTCTGCCGGGGGTCGGGGCTCTCAGCACCAGGCTGCGCTCCATCGCCAGTGCCCCCCCCCAGCACCACGTCCTCAGCCTCGCTGACCCTCAGCTGGGGGACCGCCTGCTCACTCACATGGTCAGTAATTATGATAATAAAACATCACGTTACAATTGCTACAGATAAAAATACAACAAATAAAAAGTCTGAATCTTCAATCACAATTCTATTCTATTCAATTAAATTGTAACACTTTGGATAATCAAGCTGAACGAATTGCTAATTCATTTTCCCTAACCCAATTCCTAACCCACATGGGGAAAGTGTCAGTTAGTAGTTAGTTAGATGTTGAATAAGACCAAGTGCTTGATGAAAACCAATTAATCCACTTTATCTATACAGCAAATTTCATAAACACAGTTTCCAAAGTGCTGCACAATAAAAGACTAATTAAAACAAATCCATAGTAAAACAGAAAAATCATTAAAAATAAAATAGGAAAAACCATGTGTGCATAATTAAGATCTAATACACCCTAATTGATTACACTAATTAGCAATTAAGTAGTGTGGACTTAACTAAAGTGTGACCAATTCATTTTATTCTTGTCTATCCCTAAATCACAACAGTACTTTCCTGTGCTAAAAACACATTGAACCATTGGTCCATAAAGGGCAGTTGACCATAAAGGTCCTTAAACACACACTTTTACAATTTTGTTTTCTCAATGGAAACAGGCCTGGAATTTGCTTTAAAAGAGACATATTCTGCTTTTATTATATCAACTTTTTGGAGTTTATCTCGTGTTACAGCACTGTTCATTAAATACAGACTTGTTTTTAGAACCATCCGCTCTAATATCAGGAAACTCTGGGTTACCATGGATATTATTTTGTATTATAATATTACTATAAGGAAATAGATAAAAGATAATGCATATTATTTCATCTTTTATATAGTCCACTTTCCCATCCATCTTTTCACGCTCCTTCGTCCTCAGAGCTTTTCTGCAGTTGAATTGTAAATCCAACTTCCAGTGTTCACCGACAGACTGCTCCTCAGATTGAACTTGTTTAATATCTCTTTGACTTTCAAATGCCAAAGTAAAGAATTGATTAATCTGAGCCAAGTCAAATAATGATGTACTGGTTCCACACACGTTGGATAATTTTGTGCTGTACAGTCATTAACTGTGTGGTCTTCTTGTTTCTTTCAGGGTTCCATTGTAAACAACGGGGTAAGTGAGATCAACACAAGTGATCTCACTTGTGTGTTTCACAACAGTGAAACACACAAGTGCAACAGTGTTTGTGATCCTCGTTCTGTGATGGTCTTATGTGTTTATTGTAGTGTCCACTGCCAGAGTCCTGTCTGTGCGACAAAGGAGAGAGGGGTCACCCGGGCAACCCAGTAAGTCTTGTCACGTGTACCAAATACTTTTAAACTCACCTTTTACATTTCTAATTTTATCATGAATATGATTTACATTAGAAATGAGTAATATCGCTCAAGTTATTAAGCACCTTTGAATACTTCACATAGATCAGTCCTTCTCAAAGAGTGGGGCGCTCCCTTAGGGGGCGTGGGACAATGCCAGGGGGCGCGTGTGACCGCAGGGCACCTGCTGTTGTTTGCTGTACGTTCGAACGGGATTCCGCATCTTCCTGCAGCGTCCTGACCCCAGAGCTACTGCGGCCACTTTGTAATGACAGCGGTTCTCGCCTCCAGCGGCCTGTCAGCTGCTTTGACAACAACGCAGCGAGCACATAGACTTAACGTGGCCATAATGTACCCAGCGCGGACCATACACGCACACAGGACCATTCTCTGCTTGTTGCAATTGTGTTGTCTAATTATATCCTGTCCCATTAAGTATAATAGTTAACATAATATAACTGCTGTTAGATGCTGTCTTAATAATTTCTCCATGAATAGTGTTTGAATAGTGATATAAACACACACACACACACACACACACACACACGCAGCAGTCCCTCTGTGACCTTGGCAGCAGGTGCAGATGTTTCCCACAGTGTAAGTGTGACAGTGGCAGCAGGGACCTGTGGAGCAGCTCAGGTCAAGGGCAGGATCAGCCGTAGTCCGGGTTTATTCTGCAGGGGGCACAGACAGGTCAGCCCCAGTGTCCAGGCTGACCCTCGCTGCTCTCACTCTTGTTACTTTCACGCAGGGAAAAGCAGGCGTGCAGGGATCAGATGGCCCTGCAGGTCCAAAGGGCTCTCGCGTAAGTCTCTATTGTTCCCCAAATCCATCGCTGGAAACCCGGTGAATGCATGAACGCTGCTTTGATGTTCTGTTTTGTCTGCTCTGGTTTCACAGGGAGAGCCTGGGGTGAACGGCAGACCAGGACTGGAGGGGCTGGAGGTAACCCACTCTTAGCCACAATGTTCTTTTGTCAATACACATTATTATTATTTTATGTCATGTAATAATAACAACAATAATAATAGTATAATAATAATAATGCTATTTTGTGCTTATATACCGTAGCACTTTTTTGGACACTTCTGTAAAGACGCTTTACAGAAGAACAAATCAGAAACAAAATAAAAATCTTAAAATAAACAGTGTAGGAAGTTCTGAACAGGTGGGTTTTGGGTTCAAGTTCCTGATGTGTGGTGGGAGTGAGTTCAGAGAGTGGGGGCATCTGCAGCAAAGACTCGGTCCCCCAAAGGTTCGGCACTTTGTTCTGATGGGAGTGAGGAGGTTGGAGTCTGTGGATTTTAGGCGGCAGGTGGGACATATGTACAATTAGTTGTTCAATTGTTTATTTCAAACCTGCACAAACGCATTCACACAGCACTAACAAACAGATATACAGGTGGAAAAGGGTTAGAATGAAGCCAACACTTATTTGTGTGTGTGTTTGTTATTTTGTTTGTGTGTTGCGTTTTTTAAATGTTTTAAGATAAGATAAGAGAACCTTTATTCGTCCCACAGTGGGGAAATTTCAATGTTCACCTCTCTCTTACTACTCACTCTGTGCTGAAGGCCTTTCTCTCCTTTCTCCACTTCTTCAGTACTTACTATCTGTACTTTATTTTTTTGCAGTTTTTAAATTTGTAGTGGTCCTGAGATTAGTTCAGAGGACTATCACGATTTTCCCGTAGCCCTCAGTCCTGCTTCTGCCCCTCAGTGTCCTCTGCAGCTGTATTTTACAGTGGATGCACTGCTTTTGACAGTGTGTGTGAGGTGTTTTACCGCCTTAAAGGTGCCATATTTGGCTTTTCTTCATTTGTCAGCTTTTGATGTCACGATTTGAAACGACTCATTTATGTGTCTCTCGAGAATGAGAGACACATAATCAATGAAAAAACTACTCAGGGCCTGTGTATGAGGCCAAACAGCACTGTACACATGTTTAAACCAGAGAAAAGTCAAACATTGTAACATGGTACCTTTAAAACATAAAGGGACCACTGTGATCATGTTTTTTTTAAAATCCCAAACGCTGAATCTTGTAACTTGGCTTGTTACATATTACCCTTTTTATAACTTTCTTCACCTGAGCCACATGTGAGCAACGGGATATAAAACACTTTATTGTGTCTGAAAAACCTGAGCCACATGTGAGCAACGGGATATAAAACACTTTATTGTGTCTGAAAAACATGATCCAAACAGTACAAATCTTTTGGAATTCATTTTGGTTGCATTGAAATGACACAAAAAACAGAAAGGAAACAGCCAAATCTAATTCCACACAGAATGAAAACTTAATGTAGCCTTTGAGATCATTAACGCAAGTTCAGTGTCATCCAGCCAACTTATGCTCTTACTGTACCTTGTTGTAAAGATCAGAACCCCCAGAATCCAGTGTACTTTATTAGAAAAGGCAGACATTTGTTTTTAATCGTGTCACCAAATTCCATGTCAGTATTGTAGCTGTGGTGCAATAGTTAATACTAGTAAACTTATATGTTAAATGTAAATAAATGTGGACATATCATTTTAAAGTTAAGAACAGGCTAAATTCAGTCACATCAGTTTTTTATCAAATCCATGCTTTAGGCAAGGCGAGCTTATTTGTATAGCACAGTTCATAACTCAATGTGCTGTCAAAACTGGAACGTGTGGTGCATCGTTCCTCTCTGATGCAGAAGGCTCTGAGGACAGTGATGATCCTGAACATTTATACACATTTGTTAACATTTATTAACATTTATGGACATTGGTCATATTGCTCCTAATTTGTTGGCCATTCGACAACTTTGTAAAGTCCTCTTACTGTTGTTTGTGGATTTCGGGCTATAGACAAATGCATTGAATTGATTGGAACTTGGCTGTTTCTCTGCTTTTTGTGTAATACTAATAAAACATCTTTTTTTGTACTGCAGTTTTCAAAAAATAGTGTTTACAAAGCGCTGCACAGTCAGCATAAAGCAATAAAAACAGTCATAAGAGTATAAAAAAACAAAAATAAACGGGAAAATAAAGCAGACAGACGGCACACAACAAGAAAGGCAATGTGGAACAGTGAAATACTACATGTAGAGATTAAAACTGACAGGAAGTAGGAAGTAGGACGTATAGAACGTTTGATAAAAGTTGCTTTTAAGAAGTGATTTAAAAGAAGCAACTGATTGAGCTAGTCTCATCTCCCAGGGCAGGTTTTTCCAGAGCAGAAAAGCCTGGAGTTGCAAATGAAATACCTACACATGCAAAGACCAAAAGATTTGTGATTTCTGCTGTTTTCTGGAAGAAGTGGAGCATTGTCGGCCTGAAGGAAAGGAGGGCCACCAGTTTTTGGAAAGACTGCAGTTCTCTCTAATCATGAGTTTGCTTTGTGACTGGATACTTGTCCGAGACTCAGCTACTGTTGAGATTAGATTAGATTCAAACTTTATTGTCATTACAATGTCAGAAAAATGCAAAAAAAATGCAGTTTAAGATTCAGATTCAGATTCAGTTTATTTGCCATTTGCAGTAAAAACACCACATTGGAATACATTAGCAAAAGTCACCAGTGTGCACAGACAAATAGAGACATAAAACAACAAAGACAAAAATAAAACAAATAAAACAGTAAACAAATGTCACTGTGAAATCGATCGACTAAAACAGTTTCAAAACAAGTGCAAATCATTAAAGTGCTCTGTTCACACTGATAACAGCTTGTGGATAAAAACTGTTAGCGTAACAAGATGTCCTGCATCTCAGAGAGCGATATCTTCTGCCAGAGGGAAGAAGCTGGAACATGGCTGTCCCAGGGTGGCCAGTCATTAACAATCCTAAGAGCTTTGTTTAAAAGTCTGGATTTATAAAGAACCTCCAGAACAGGAAGCTCACAGCCCACGGTCCTCTTTGCAGAGCGGAGCACCTTGTTTAAAGCTCTCTTTTCTTTATCTGTGATGTTTCCAAACATAGAATGTTGAGTGAACTTGACATAATAACCCATGTATGTTTCTCCTCCATCAGGGTCGACCCGGCAGCAAAGGAGAAAAGGTATGTATTTGTTACTAGTGTTTTGCAGCATAACTATAGTTACGGAACAAGCCTGCAGCTTTTTTGGAGTTTAGATCAGAGCCAGATCTAAAGGACTCTTTTCAGGGGGAGCGTGGTGAATGTGGGGCCCCCGGTAAGAAAGGCCTACAGGTGAGACTCAAATATATGATTTTATACAGAGGCGATTTATTGTTGTAAGTTCTACAATGGTCTTTACAGGGGCCCAGTGGACCCACAGGACCTGCAGGACCCAAAGGAGAAAAGGTGATCATTGAGCTGATTTATGGTGATCATTTCATTTGAATTTGACGCATGCAGGCCTGGAGGAATAGTTACGGATTGTAAAAAGAGATTTTTTTTTTTTTTTTACTAAAGTAGTAATAATGGAGCGGTCAGATCAGTTTGGTTCAAAGACATCGTTGAGTCCAGGTTTGGAGCTTAGTCCATATTCTCTTCACTGTGATGTAAAACAGAGTAATTACAGAACTGTCTGTGGAGCAGTAATGTTTCTGTTGGCTGCATAGATCATACAGCGTTAGATCCAGGGACAATATTTAGAATGTGCCTTATTAGTGCTCACATGATCTCTGACCACTTCCCCTCAGCGCTCAGTCCGTCTGCACACCAGGAATGTGAGCTGCGGATTAGTTCTTATCCTGCTGCAGTGTAGCAGCTCATCACAGCCCACTGGGAACACTGTCCCACACCAGTACACAGCTCATCACAGCCCACTGGAACACTGGTGTAATGGTGTGCCTTCATAATCCTTTGTCATCTAAACCTAAATACAGCACAGGGATACATTACACATCAAAGAGATAGCAGTTTTTAAGTCAGTATTTAAGACTTCACTTCAGAGAGTTCACCTCAGTTTGTCCATGTGTTTCTACAAGTCCTGGTCAGCAGAGGGCAGCAGAGACTGTCCAGACACACTACAGATAAAAGTTTCACTTGTTTTAATGTAAGGACAATTACATTCATAATTATACTTCTTTTGCAGGGAGCGAAAGGTTCAGCTGGAGACCAGGGCCCAGAGGGGCCAGCTGGATTCAAGGTATCAATAACTAGTGCTGTCCGACTGCTGCTGTCAGACTGTACAACAAACAATAAGGACTAATGAACACTGCCAACTTGATTCCAGTGTCATTCTCGCATCGTTGCAATATCCTTATCTTATACCAGAATGTACAATACACTGCTAATGTACAGTTGTAAACATACTGCTGCTAATGTACAGTTGTAAACATACTGCTGCTAATGCACAGATGTAAACATACTGCTGCTAATGTACAGATGTAAACATACTGCTGCTAATGTACAGATGCTAACATATAACTACACTTTACTTGCACTAGATTACACAGTACTTTATACTTGCCTCTTATTTTGTCAATTTTAAATTTTTACATCTATTTTACTTTCAAGATAGAGATTTTATACTTATTATTGATGCTAGAGTTAGATTGTTTTTATTTTGATTAGTATAGCTTTTTTTGTGTGCTGTGTGCTCCTCTTTCCTACTGTTCTATAACCTGTGATGCAACACCGAAATTTCCCCACCGTGGGAAAAATAAAGGATGTCTTAATCTTAATTATGTATTAGTTGCGTGTGGTACAGTACATTTACAGTTGTGTATTTCCCCCTGCAGGGTGAGCGAGGCTTAAGGGGAACCCCTGGCCCACCCGGAGATAACGGTGTGGGTTACCCTGGCCCAAAGGTAAGAGGACCCTCTCACCTCAGCATGCTGTCCTCAGAAACAAATGAACAAATTTGTTTTTAGGGAGATAAGGGAAGCCAAGGCAGAGCAGGGCCACAAGGTCCAGTGGGACTGGGAGAGCCGGGTGTGCCTGTGAGTACACAGACTTACACACACACACTTACGCACAGGTGGGCAAATGTACTTTTTTTGCTAAACTTGGACTTGTGTGTAGGGGGCATCTGGTCCTCCTGGGATGCAGGGGTCTCCAGGTTTTCCTGGGGAGGGCCTTCCTGGACCAAAGGTTGGTTGTGTGCTGTTCCTCACTTGGGATGATCCCCTGTCTGATGTGATGTGTGTCTGCAGGGCGACAGGGGTAATGAGGGCCCCAAAGGCAGCCGCGGAACTCCTGGAGTTGGGTCAAAAGGGGACAAGGTGAGGGTCTGGATAATGTCACATTGAAAAGTTAAAGTGTAATTAGTCTCTTGCCGCTGGCTTTAGGGGAACAGTGGAGTTCCAGGGTCTGCAGGTTTGATGGGGTTCCCTGGAGCAGGTTTACAGGGAGACAAGGTGAGACCTCGCCACATGTTCTCAGTCTTAATGTTTTAATGATAACATACTCTATTGTTCTAATTTTAGGGGGAACAAGGGCCTATTGGGCCCTCTGGTCCGAGAGGACCTCCTGGACTTGGTGTTGTTGGTCCAAAGGTATGGTTATAGACGTGTCTACTGGTCTCTACTCTTTCTCTAAAGTTGCTGTTGGGCTGTGTTTTTAGGGAGACCAGGGCTTTCCTGGTGAGCCTGGTCCGCAGGGAGAGCGAGGAGTGGGTGAACCTGGACCAAAGGTGGGTCACACTGTCCTGCTGAGCATCATGGGAGCTGTTCCTAAACCACTCTATCTTTCAGGGAGATACTGGTCCAGATGGGGTAGCTGGGATCCCAGGCATTCCCGGAGAGGATGGGGCAGTCGGAGCCAAGGTAATCTGTATCTGTGTTTAAGGTTCATTTTAGTGGAGCCCAGGCTGACGTATGTGCCTTCCTGAAGGGAGAGATGGGAGTGCCAGGGCCGCGGGGGACTGAGGGAGAAGCTGGAAAAGGCTCCCCCGGAGAAAAGGTAATGGAAACGTTCGATCGTCTGTCTGTGGCCTTTTGGCACACAAAAAAACACTGTCTTTCACCAATTGCTTTTGATAGAAAATGAAATTTTATGACGTAAAAGCACCTTTAATGTTTCCTTTCAACTGTGATTCAAATGTTTTGTTATGAAGAACTATATAGGACGTGGGTGCAGATACTCCACTTTCCTGCTCTTCTTGATTCGTTGACCTCGGGACTACATTCTGTCTGTCCAGTCTTTCTTCCATTCCCAGCCCAAATCCACGTCAGTCCATCTGAAGTAGATTTGGGCGCGGATTTAGGAGTTCAAGTATTGGAGTAAAATGGGCTTTAAAACATAAAAGTCCATTTAAAATCACAGAAAATACGCACAATTCATGAAGTAAAAAGAGTGTCAAGATTAAAAGGTCAAGTGTGTCTACAAGTGTGACATGCAGCTGTTCACAGGGGGACCAGGGGGACAGAGGAGCTCGAGGCCTGGCAGGACCCCCAGGGCCCGCCGGACCAGCCGGTGCAAAGGTATTATACCAGCCTGTGCTGAGACGGGATCTCTGTTAGCTCACTGACAGATGTGCATACATGTGGATGGTTCTGTTTAGGGAGAACCCGGAGGCCAGGGAATGGTGGGGCTGCCTGGTGCTGTCGGCCGTGGGCTGCCAGGAACAAAGGTAAGTGTCCCTCGCCTCGTGCTGCAGTCTGTGTAAGTAAGTAAGTCATCCTTATTTATATAGCGCCTTTCACTGACCAGTCATAAAGCGCTTTACAATGAGGGCATTTGTCTCTCACTCCACACAGAGATGGGGGCGAGGTCGCCATACGAGGCACATGCCAGACTTATGGTAAATATTTTTAGCGGTAGGAGAAACCGGAGAACCCGGAGGAAACCTACACAGACACGGGGAGAAGGGAGAATGTTCTTAATGATAAAAACAGTAAATTCAATCTTATATAGCACTTTTAGTGACTCATAGATTTTATGTTAGATATTTTTCCTTCCTTGTATTCAAACAAAAGACATTGATAACGGCGGTGTATCAAAGCAATAGCCACGATAGCAATCGTGGTTTCGTCACTGGAGTGTAAGAGTGTAGCTTTTATAGATGCGGATTTTACAGCTTTTACAGATATGATAACCACTGTTGTTTTTTTATTGGGGCAATGCACACGGTTGAGCATCTGTATTGAACAAATATGAATAGCTCTGGATTATAGCTCCACTCCCGAGGCAGTTTATTAAAAATACAACATGACAAGGTAGAAGTGACTAACCCTAACCCTCAGGAGTAGAAGTCTCCTAGTTTCTTGACTTGTTTGAGAGAGACTACAGGTTTTCACTCTTCACTGTTTCCATTCACACTGACCAACACTGACCAATACTTCATTGACTTAGGTCAATAGGTAGATACTTTATTAATCCCGCGTAGGAGAAATTCAAGTGACCAGCAGTAGAAAAACCCATCCATCCATCCATCCATTTTCTACCCTTTAATCCATTTCTGGGTCAGGGGGGTGGCAATCAGAGATGCCACCCAAGTCTCATAGCACCAGCCCCTCACTGACCCTCTGCAGGTGGTGAGTCCACAGGAGGACGGCTGCTCTCTGATTGTGAGCATAGCCTTGATCTTTCAGTGGGGAGTTGGGCAAAGTGGGGTTAAGTGTCTTGCCCAAGGACACAACGACAGCAGTCATCAGTGGGAGTCGGTGGAGAAGGTGCAGAGGTGGGAATTGAACCCACGACCTTCTGGCCTTAAGGCTAATGCTCTACCAACTGAGCTACTGTCGCCCCCAGTAGAAAACAATAGACAAATAAACAAATAGATCATTCTGAAAGCTACGAACAATACTAATAAAGCGCAACAGCGGGTCACAGCAGCAGAGGTGGTGTAGCCGCTGGTGGGGGGCTGCTTCCTATCCTCTGCTGTTGATGTGTTCACATTCTGCTTGTTTTGGACCATTTTCTCTGCTCTGGTTCAGAATGAAATTATGATTGGTTTATTACCATTTTTCAAATAAAATCTGAATTCGTCCAGTGGATTTATGCTTGGTCTGCTTGGTTGCGGCCATGCGTCCTCTCCCCTGGTCTGGATCAGTGTAAAACTATGAACACTGTACTGCAGTAACATTTGCAGCTGGAAAAGTAACAGCTATTTCAGAGATACTTAGGACGTACTGCTGTTTCCAGCTGTTCAAAAGGCGCAGGAGCTATAATATTACGATTAAGAAATTCTTTATTTTTCCCACAGTGGAATGAGGAGCACACAACTTACTGTTTTTATCATTAAGAACATTCTACCTTCTCCCCGTGTCTGTGTAGGTTTCCTCCGGGTGCTCCAGTTTCCCCTACCGCTAAAATATTTACCATAAATCTGGCATGCGCCTCCTGTATGGCGACCTCGCCCCCATCTCTGTGTGGAGTGAGAGACAAATGCCCACATTGTAAAGCGCTTTATGTTATATATTAACATTCTAATTATATTCTTAGTCAACGCCCTAATCGGGGGTAGGAGGGACACATGAAATAAGCATCTTCTGCTCTTGAGCTGAGTGTTGATATTATTATAGATCCATGTGGTGGAGGCTTGATTCGGAAGCTCCGTGAAAACAAACAACTGAGAATGTGCGCAGTTACGAGCTCGTGATGATTGACAACCCTTGGCATCACTCGTTTGTTTAAGGTGGACGGCATCGTAGATTTTGAGATAAAGCTAAGATAGGGGAAGGCGGGACTTTCCCGTGATATGATAATTCATTAAATGACTTATTTTATATCAACATTTTCCAGACTCTCACTCAGATCACTTTAAGGTTCACAACAGAATCTCCTCTTCTCACCATGAAGTTTCCTTTCTCCAGTTCTCAATAGTTTTTGTGTGTTAGTGTCAACATCTGTGTATTGTAACTCTGCACAGGGCGAGCCTGGAGCAGTGGGACCAACAGGACCTGTCGGAGAGCCTGGAGTGGGAATCATGGGACCAAAGGTAGAGTGTGCTCACAGTTATAAAGTCACAAGAAAGGCTTTTCTATAATAATTGTTATTGTGTGTTGCACAAAAATCTTCGCCCAATACAAGAGGAAACCTTTGGAAACTTGTTTATGAATTCACATTTTTATTAGTGGAACGTCCCACATAAAAGTTAGAATATAATATATAGGAGCTGTGCCTGCAGTGGGCGGCGGAAGTCTGACAGTCAATAGTTTTTATTAAAGAATATACATTTGAGGACCTGGCCCGGTCCTTGAGCGTGAGCTAAGGGATTATAGACTCCCTGCTTTTGTCATGATTATGGTCCATAAGTACATTAAGTACATTAAGTAAAGGTATTTCCTTTGATCCAAGTCCTCCAATCTGAGGTGAAATCACATTACGCCTGTGCAAATGAATCAGCCTCGGTTCTCAATTTTCTGCTCGGGGCCTCTTTGCTGCACTTTAAAATTTCCGGAGGACTAAAAAAAAGCTCACACATAATTTTCAACAGAGAAAATAGGCTCAACCTTGGCTAATATTTACAGGGTGAAACTAGGGGGAGAGAAGCTATAGGACAAACATGCACAGGCTGTTCCTTGTTTGTCCTGCATATTTGAATTTGGTGGTGAACAAAGAGTACTCATGGTCATTATACCTAAAAGTCATAGCCATTTTAATCTATGTCAATATGACTTCAGAGGTGTTCACACTAAACTCACCTTGAGCTGCAAAGATGTGTGTGAGAGAGAGGGCGTGTGTGTCAAAGACAGCTTCAGCTCAGTTCTGCCACTGCCTCCTGATGCAGGGACCATGCAGTGTCATAGTCCAGTTGCTACAACAGGCACAAGTCTGAAATCAGCCTCACGACCCCTTAAAAAGTCCGTCCGTCCCTCCGTTTTCTTCCGCTTCATCCGTTGCCGGGTCGCGGGGGCAGCAGTCTAAGCAGAGACGCCCAGACTTCCCTATCCACACACACTTCCTCCAGCTCGTCCGGGGGGACCCCAAGGCGTTCCCAGGCCAGCTGAGAGACATAGTCCCTCCAGCGTGTCCTGGGGCTTCCCCGGGGCCTCCTCCCAGTGGGACGTGCCCGGAACACCTCCCCAGGGAGGCGTCCAGGAGGCATCCGGAACAGATGCCCGAGCCACCTCAACTGGTTCCTCTCGACGTGGAGTAGCAGCGGCTCTACTCCGAGCTCCTCCCGTGTGACTGAGCTCCTCACTCTATCTCTAAGGGAGCGCCCAGCCACTCTGCGGAGGAAGCTCATTTCGACCGCTTGTATCCGCGATCTCGTTCTTTCGGTCATTACCCAAAGCTCATGACCATAGGTGAGGGAGGGAACGAAGATTGACCGGTAAATTGAGAGCTTTGCCTTTCGGCTCAGCTCCCTCTTTACGACAACGGTCCGATACAGCGACCGCATCACTGCGCACGCTGCACCGATCCGCCTGTCAATCTCACGCTCCATCCTTCCCTCACTCGTGAACAAGACCCTGAGATACTTGAACTCCTCCACTTGAGGAAGGACCTCTCCACCCACCTGAAGAGAGCAAGGCACCTTTTTCCGGTCGAGCACCATGGCCTCGGATTTGGAGGTGCTGATTGTCATCCCAGCCGCTTCACACTCGGCTGCAAACCGCTCCAGTGCATGCTGCAGGTCCTGGCTCGTTGGAGCCAACAGGACAACATCGTCCGCAAACAGCAGAGATGAAATCCTATAGTCCCCGAACCGGACCCCCTCCAGCCCCTGGCTGCGCCTAGAAATTCTCTCCATGAATACAGTGAACAGAACCGGTGACAAAGGGCAGCCCTGGCGGAGGCCAACATGCACCGGGAACAGGTCTGACTTACTGCCGGCAATGCGAACACAGCTCTGGCTCCGGTCATACAAGGACCGAACAGCCCTCAGCAGAGGACCCCGGACCCCGTACTCCTGGAGAACCCCCCAAAGAACACCCCAGGGAACACGGTCGAACGCCTTCTCCAAATCCACAAAGCACATGTGGACAGGTCGGGCGAACTCCCATGAACCCTCGAGTATCCGATGGAGAGTAGAGCTGGTCCAGTGTTCCGCGGCCGGGACGAAAACCACACTGCTCCTCCTGAATCCGAGATTCGACCATTGGCCGTAGCCTCCTCTCCAGTACCTTGGAGTAAACCTTACCAGGGAGGCTGAGGAGTGTGATCCCACGATAATTGGAACACACCCTCCAATCCCCCTTCTTATAGAGAGGGACCACCACCCCGGTCTGCCACGCCATCGGCACCGCCCCCGATCGCCACGCGATGTTGCAGAGACGTGTCAGCCAAGACAGTCCCACAACATCCAGAGACTTTAGATAGTCAGGACGGATCTCATTCACTCCCGGCGCCTTGCCACCAAGGAGGCTGCCAACCACCTTGGTGACCCCCAGATGGAAGTATCCGCCCCAACATCTTCAGCCTCTGCCTCCAGGACGGAGGACGTGACGGGGGGGTTGAGGAGAACCTCGAAGTATTCCTTCCACCGCCCGACAATATCCCCAGTCGAGGTCAGCAGCTCTCCACCCGCACCGTACACGGTGTTGGCAAAGCACTGCTTCCCCCTCCTGAGGCGCCGGACGGTTTGCCAGAATCTCTTCGAGGCCGACCGATAGTCCTGCTCCATGGAGTCTCCAAACTCCTCCCAGACCCGGGTTTTTGCCTCTGCAACAACCCGGGCCGCGGCACGCTTGGCCTGCCGGTACTGGACAGCTGCCTCAGGAGTCCCCCGAACCATCATGGCTCGATAGGACTCCTTCTTCAGCCTGACTGCATCCCTTACTGCCGGTGTCCACCACCGGGTTCGGGGGTTGCCACCGGGACCAGCACCAGAGACCTTGCGACCACAGCTACGAGCTGCCGCATCGGCGATAGAGGAAAAGAACATGGTCCACTCAGACTCAATGTCCCCCTCCTCTGCCGGGACACGGGAGAAGCTCTCCCGGAGGTGTGAGTTGAAAGTCCGTCTGACAGGGGGCTCAGCGAGACGTTCCCAGCAGACCCTCACTACACGCTTGGGCCTGCCAGGTCTGACCGGCTTCTTCACCTGCCAGCGGATCCAACTCAACACCAGGTGGTGATCGGTTGACAGCTCCGCCCCTCTCTTCACCCGAGTGTCCGAAACACGCGGCCGAAGGTCAGATGATACAACAACAAAGTCGATCATCGACCTCCGGCCTAGGGTGTCCTGGTGCCACGTGCACTGGTGGACACCCTTGTGCTCGAACATGGTGTTTGTGATGGACAAACTGTGACTAGCACAGAAGTCCAACAACTGAACACCGCTCGGGTTCAGATCAGCGGGGCCGTTCTTCCCGATCACCCCTCTCCAAGTGTCACTGGAATTTCCCACATGGGCGTTGAAGTCCCCCAGGAGAATAACGGAGTCCCCGGGCGGTGCACCGTCCAGTACACCTCCCAAGGACTCCAAGAAGGCCGGGTACTCTACACTGCTGTTAGGCCCGTAGGCCGTCACAACCGTGAGAGACTTGTCCCCCACCCGAAGGCGGAGGGACGCAACCCTATCATTCACCGGAGAGAACTCCAACACGTGGCAGCTGAGATGGGGGGCAATGAGTATGGCCACCCCAGCTCGCCGCCTCTCCCCGCGAGAGACACCAGAAAAGGTGAGCGTCCAACCCCTCTCAAGGAGTTGGGTTCCAGAGCCCAAGCTGTGTGTGGAGGTGAGGCCGACTATCTCTAGTCGGTATCGCTCAACCTCCCCCACGAGCTCGGGCTCCTTCCCCCACAGTGAGGTGACGTTCCACGTCCCAAGAGCCAGATGTTGTGTGTGCGGACTGGGTAGGCGAGGTCTCAGCACCGCACCACCACGGACCCCTCTGCAGGTGGTGGGCCCACAGGAGGGACTGCCCACGTCGTCCTTTCGGGCTGAGCCCGGCCGGGCCCCGTGGGCTAAGGCCCGGCCACCAGGCGCTCGCATTCGAGCCCCGACCCCAGGCCTGGCTCCAGGGTGGGGCCCCGGCTGCGCCATGCCGGGCGACGTCACTGTTTTTCTTTTAGTGCTGTCCATGGTGTCTTCGGACCGCTCTTTGTCTGACTCGTCACCTGAGACCTGTCTGCCATGGGAGACCCTACCAGGGGCATTAAGGCCCAGACAGCATAGCTCCCAGGATCATCCGAGTACTCAAACTCCCCCACCACGTTAAGGTGGCAGTCCAGGGGGGACTGTCAGTATTTCTATGAAAATAAGGGAGAGTGAGAGGGATGGGGGAGCGGAGGGAGTGAGTGAGAGGGAGCCAGGAAATGGCTGGACCTCTGTTCTGGTACCTTGTTTTTTTCATAAAACACAAGCATTATTGCATGAGATGCTCTTGTGGACTCACCACCTGCAGAAGGATCAGTGAGGGGCTGGTGCTCTGTGTCCTGGTGCAGCTCTGACTGCCACCCCCCCCCCGACCCAGAAATGGATTAAGGGGAAGAAAATGTATGGATGGATGGACAAGCATTATTGCATCAGATGTCTTTATCTGGCAGAACTCTTGACCTCATGTCTGTGTGTGTTTCAGGGGAACAGAGGCAGCCCTGGGCTTGTGGGGCCTGCTGGCATGAAGGGGGAAGGTCTTCCTGGAGCCCCGGTAAGACGAGCCCACCTGTACCTGCCTGTGTGAATGTTGAGCTATGGCTTAAGGCTGTGTGTTCTAGGGGCTGCCTGGCCTTCCTGGCCTCCAAGGAGACATGGGGCCAGAGGGGAGAGGGCTGCCTGGACCTAAGGTGACTTTACTCTGAACATGTGAACAACAAGCAACGTGACTTTATTCACATCTGATCCGTCTTCCAGGGGGACAGAGGCTTATCGGGGGTTCCGGGCGCAACTGGGCCCCCTGGGATTGGTGTTTTTGGGCCAAAGGTTCTTATAAAACGTGCATACTTTTCACTGTACTTGAGATGAATGAAACATGTCAGTGTTTCTGTCCAGGGTTCGTCTGGTCAGCCGGGACCTCCAGGGATGGCAGGGCCACCGGGGGCAGGCATCCAGGGCCCTAAGGTAATGTGGCATTAGTGCATTCATTCTCTCACACTGTTCACATTTACCATCTTCACTGTTAGGGTGAGCCAGGCTTTCAGGGGCCAGTGGGTCCTCGGGGCCAACAAGGAGACGGGCTTCCTGGAGAGAAGGTAAGGCAGTAAGTAAGTATGTAAGTAATAGTAAGATTTTGGCACCGATACCACTTTTTTTCAAAACCAATACTAGTACCTTATTTTGAGTACTTGTGATATCGATTACCAATACCAGTACTGCATTGGGTTATCCCTGAGAATTGGGAATAAGAAAATGCTTTCACAACTAAACTTTTTAGCGATTGTTTTCAAAGGTCTACAATAAGAGTCACTGTCATATTCCACTCAGACAAATGCTTTGTTGTAGAGTTGGCTGTTTTTGTGCTCCGGTGCTAGCAAAGGTGCTATACTCCGTGCGGTGGTGAGTTTTCAGATGTTTGATCAATTAACAGGTGTTATACGTGTTTTTTTGGACCCACCTCGTGTTAAATTTGCCCTACACAACGTACAGTTACTCATGTAACTCTTTTTTTCTTTTACTTTAAAAATCTGCCATATGGCTGACATTTGCTAGCGTGCTGCACAGCTGTCTGCTGTCGTGACACTGATGTATATAAAAAATGTGGGTATTGGTTTCCCGGATTGTGTCCTATGGTGTGAGTACGAGTGCCAGTGCAAGCCTATGGTATACCAGTATCGGTGTCAGTGCATCCCTAAGATATCTTACTGTTTCTTACTTACTTACACATTACAGTGTAGAGAGGAGCTTTATTACACACTGTGTGTCTCCCAGGGAGACAGAGGCGTGTCAGGGGAGCGAGGGAGGAAAGGAGACAAGGGAAACCATGGAGAGGCCGGATCTTCAGGACCTCTGGTAACTTCTGGCTTGATTTTTTTTTAGTATAGTGTTAGGGAATCTGTCTTCACTTGCGGCTTTATTTCCACAGGGAAGACCAGGAGAAAAGGGAGACGCAGGACTGTCAGTGAGTTCAAACCAAGTCATTCTCCCAGAATTACATTCTGTGTCTTTTCTCATGTTCCTTTCCCCACAGAGAGAGGAGGTGATGCAGATCATCAGAGAAATCTGTGGTAATAGTTATGTTCTTAAGAGTGTTCCTTCTCTTACATCAGCAAACATGTGAAGTGCTTTGGTCTCCTTAGGTTGTGGTGTCCGCTGCAGAGAGCGCCCTCTAGAGCTGGTGTTTATCATTGACAGCTCTGAGAGTGTGGGTCCTGATAACTTTGAGTTGGTCAAAGACTTTGTCACGTCCCTGACGGAGCGTCTGAGCATCAGCAGACATGGCGCCCGCGTGGGGCTGCTGCTGTACAGCCACGTGAACATGGTGATGGTCAGTCTGCAGCAGCAGGCCGACCAGGACCAGCTGCGCGCCGTGCTGCGCAGCATGCCGTACCTGGGAGAGGGCACCTTCACAGGCAGCGCCATCCAGGGAGCCAACCAGCTGTTCCAGAGTGCCCGGCCCGGGGTCCGCAAGGTGGCTGTGCTGCTGACCGACGGCCAGGCTGACCCCAGGGACGCGCTGCAGTTTGAGGAGACCGCCACACAGGCTCACAACATGGGCATCGAGATGTTTGTGATTGGGGTCCTGAACCAAACAGACCCTCTGTACGCAGAGTTCCAGGCCGAGATGAGCGCCATCGCCTCCGAGCCGTCAGACCAACATATCTACCTGATCCAGGACTTCCACACACTGCCCAGTGAGAGAATGTCCTACACATATTCTATACACAAATTACACACAAATGTACATATTACATGCACACACACACACACAGTATACACACACACATACAGTATACACACATTTACACATAGTCAACATTTGTTAATGATGTCCTTTGGTCTGGTCTGTTGTGTTTCTGTAGCACTGGAGATCAAGTTCCTGAATCGCATCTGTGAGTATGAGAACAGAGGGGCCTTTCCACCAGACGCCATCTTCTCATCAGTGGTTCCACAAACACCTGCCCCCACTCCCACAGAGGGCCCCCAGGACAACCATCTCCCAGTGAGTTTGACCTCCTGTCGTTGCCTCCATAATCTCTCCTTTGTCCTTGTCAAAGACGGGATTTCAAATATTTGTATTCAACATCAAAAACACATCTTGAGCTGTAGATTTAACTCCAGAATTAATTCCATCTATATTTCTAACTCTCATCATGATGAGATGTGAGTGGACCCAGACCAAACAGTACGTTCTGTCAGCTAACTGATGCAAGGGAAATGTCCCTGAGTGAGGATTTGGTAAAAGTGATCAGCTTTGTGATGTTTGCAAACAAATTTTGTTTGTTATTGTGCTTTGGCTTAAAGCAGGGGTGTCAAACTTATTTTGGTTGAGGGCCAAAAAAAAAATTAAAGGGCCGTTCAGGGGCCGAAAGAAGAAGTGGGTTTCATTTTTTATACTTTTTATAATATGAAGGTATCTATATATATGACTTGTTTCACATTAGTTAGACTGGATATTCTTTTCTGAATAGATTTAGTTCAGTTCCTGTGGACTGGACCAAAACCGGACCAAATATTGAAGGTTAATGTGAAGATTTTCTACTTCCGGATGGATCATCAGACTATTGGTCCTCCCAACTGTCAATCATTCTGGTGATTCGTGCTCGTCAAAAAAGACCAGAGAGTTTTGTTCAAAAAGTGGAGAGGGCGTTTTTTTACTAACAAATTGGGAAATCCTCCTTGAAATGTAAAAACATAGCATTACAACTAACTTCTAATTACACGTTGGCTTAACATTTCTTAAGGAATTAAATGTTATGGTATTCTTGAGAAAATTAGTAATGGATAAAATGCCATTGTTGCCTAATACCGTCAATGCTGCTATTTACTCTTGTGCTTGCTTTGTTTTACTATGTCATGTTCATTTTGTTTTATCTGATTTTAATCTACCTGTTGTAGCACTTTGAGGTTTCTTTGAAATGTAAAGTGCAATATAAATAAAATGTATTATTATTATTATTATTATTATTTAATATAATAATTTAAAATCATCTCAGGGGCCACTGGAAATGGTCTCGCGGGCCGGATCTGGCCCCCGGGCCTAGACTTTGACACCTGTGGCTTAAAGGATGCTATTGTTGTGACCCTGTTCACTACTGCAGGTTAAAGACTTGGTGACCCGCAGTCCTGAAGCAGATCATCTGTTGGACCCATGGCGCTCAGCTCCAGCTGGTGTCACTTCAGCGGTGGGGCCCCTCTCACCGAGTCACTGGCAGATGGAGCCAGACTCCGCACTGGCCCCTGTGAGTGAGCCGAGCCCCCCAGCCACCACAGCCTCTGTGCCCGGTAAGCACCTCTCACTGATGCACAGAGCAAAGATGTGCAGCGTCTTTCCTTTGAGAGGAACACCACTTCTGTGCATGTGTTACACATACTGTACTGTGTGTTAGAGACAACCTTCTGTTTCACACAGAAATCCTGATGAATTGGACACTTTTTTCCAAGAAATTCTTTTATGCAGAGAGCGCCCCCTAAAATCCGTATTGTTTTTCTCTTCAGCTGTGGGCTGTGGCGAGCCGCTGGAGCCGGGCCCCTGTCGGCAGTACGTGGTGCGCTGGTACTACGACCCAGAGGCCAACTCCTGCGCTCAGTTCTGGTTCGGAGGCTGTGACGGAAACAACAATAACTTTGAGTCTGACGCCTTGTGCCAGAAGAACTGTGTGTCTACGTAACAGATGTACAGCGTCATCAGCACCGTCGGGGCCCTTGGAGCCCGGGCCACGCCATCGCACTGTTTGTTTTGTGCTCAGCCTGTGTCACATAAAAACTGCCAAAGCATGGCACTGCTTTGGCACGACTCACACAGCTGCGAGGAATCCCAGAAACAGGCCTTCATCTGCGCACATTGTGACAGAAGATGATTAAAATTTAGGTAACAATAGCCATCCTTTAAAGCTGCAGTACCTAGCTTTTTGTAGTTTTTTTAATGTCTCGTATTTTTCAATCAGACACACCCAATCATGTGCTGCATCTCTGGAATCTTCCACCACAAAACAATTGAACTGGTTTTGCTAATACTGTTTGTCATTTCACATGCCCACACGTGTCAGAGACACTGCAAAAAATGATAAAATATGAGATAATAATCTAAGATAAATCATTTCTATCTTAATTAAAGTACATTCTGATAAGATTTGTCAATGGAACAAAGCCATTAGTCTTATTTCAAGAACTGTTGCTTTAGTTTCTCATTCCCAGGGAACCATTTCTTGTATTTAAAAAAAATATTTTTTTTCTTGTCCCACTAGAAAATCTTGTTTTAAGGCAAAATGTGCTAAAATTAAGATACATTTAGCCAAATTTGACCAATTTTGGACTTTTTTTAGTGTATAATGTGTTGTACATATTGACAATTCAAAGCTGGGGAACCTCACTATTTTCACTATTTCCCATTAATAATACATGTAGCTTGTCACAACCGAATGTAAAAGAATAAATCAGACCACTATATGCTAAACTTCTTTTAAGTATCAGATTAAGAGATCCTTTATTCAGGCCACTTGTTTTTACTGTCTCTTCTCTTCTCACACACACAGTCATGTGGTGCATCTTTTGGAATCAGTCTGAAAAAATTGTGACAGAGGCCAAAAGTACATACAAGTGAAAACTAGTGCTAGAACCAGGTGAAGAAAGTACATGTGGATTTCAAAAACATATGAAAAGTATAAAGTATGATAGAAGTAAACTTATTTATTTATTGTGCCTAATTTCAATGCATTCAAAGAACACTTTGTTCAAAAACGTTACTCGATTGGTTCATCCACACAGACTAAAGCTCAATTCTGTGAAGAAATCAGGCTCCAGTGTTCCCATCACTTCAAATTATTAGTAAATGTAGAAGTTGTAGAATGTTATCTTGTGAATCTTTATAGAAAGTTAAATAAAGACATTTATTTACACAAAAAAATAAATACATTTACAAATCAGCCAGTATGTAGTTCCATTACTGCCATTTGAAAACCAGGTACCCCTGCTTTAAGCGCTGTCATTTCAATAATAAGAAACATTATGAATAGTTTAACCTCACACTAAACCAGTGCAACTTGTTTTTAATGTCTCATCTTTTTCAGACACACCCAATCATGTCCTGCTTCTTTGGAATCTTCAACCACAAAACAATTGAACTGGTTTTGCTAAAGGGAATACTGTTTGTCACATCACATGGCCATATGTGTCAGAGACACTGCAAAAAATGATAAAATGTGAGGTAACAATCTAAGATAAATCATTTCTATCTTAATTAAAGTACATTCTGACAATATTTGTTGATGGAACAAAGCCATTAGTCTTATTTCAATAACTGTTGCTTTATTTTCTCATTCCAAGGGAACCATTTCTTATAAAAAAAAACAAAAAACATGATCATTGTTTGTCTCTCACTGGAAAATCTTGTTTTAAGGCGCTCAAAATGCGCTTTAATTAAGATACATTTAGCCAAATTTGAGACACTTTGTTTTTTTTTAATCACTTTTTGCAGTGTATAGTGTGTTGTACATATTGACAATTCAAAGCTGGGGAACCTCACTATTTTCACTATTTCCAATCGGTTGTGACAAAGTACATGTATTATACATGTACTTCGTCACAACCGAATCTTGTAAAAGAATAATAATGCATCGGTTTTATATAACGCTTTTTTGGACACTCAAAGACACTTCACGTGTCATTATTCATTCACTCCATACACAGTGGTGATAAACTACTACTGTAGCCACAGCTGCCCTGGGGCACACTGACAGAAGCGAGGCAACCAGTTTGTGCCACCAACCACACAACCTCACACACACACCAGACTCATTCTAGGCAATGGGGGTGGAGTGTCTTGCCTAAGGACACAACAGCAGTTTGGCACTTTACAGCCGCACAACCTTCTGACTCAAAGGCCAATGCTCTACCAACTGAGCTACTGTCGCCCCAACAACACTTTTTATTTTTACAATTCCATCTCTTGGCCTTTCTGTGTGGAGTTCTCGCCGTGTCTGAGTGGGTTATCCTCCGGGTGCTCTTATAATACATTTAAATTGAAGGAACAATGAATTACAATTTAATGAGAAAAGCTACAATTTATGCAAATTATATCTCAAGTCAAGTGTTATTCATTACAAATTAATTGTTTTTCTCCAAATGCAGTATCTGCGTTTCGAAGTGCGACAAAGGCCTTGTAACCATGACAATGTCGTCAGATCTCCAGAGGATCTTTACAAAGACAAGTATAGTTCTTTGTTACCGAAAATCGGGTCTCCAACAAAAAAAAATCATGATTCACGTGCCCCAAACTTTTGTAAATGAAAATTAAAAATGTAATAAATTAAAAAATAATCCCAATGTCAGGCTAAGTTTTGAGACCCTTGCCCTAGATTCATTTCATGACAGTTACATGTTTGTGTGGTTTGAAAGTGAGGTACCCCAGCACTTGTTAGGTTAGAAGACAAAAGTAATTCAACATGTGTGAAAATGAATGCATCTGATGAAAAATACTTCCGTGCTTTAGCCTGCTGTATATATTGTAACTGAGGAGTTTTATTACTGTACTTGTAGCTGCTTGTCTTGTTCCACATCACAGACAGGAACCAAAGTGCTTTTTCAAATTGTTTTAATAAATAAAATATACTTTTCTACTATATATATATATATTCAAACAGTCGTCATTCACAAGAAGATTTTTGAGCCGACAGTGGAAAAAAAACGAACTTTGCACAGAACCACAATGCCTACAATTCAGACTGTAAATGAATATCAACTATAAAGATCGTCACGCACGCCCTAAAAACCCTCTTAAACGGAGTAAAGGTGAAGTTCAGGACACACACGGTGAAACAAAAATGTGCTGAAGAGTCAAATACATAAATAAACAAGTGGAAATGCTGTATTTACTTAAAAGGCTTGGTCTCCTGATGTTAAAGGCGTTGTACTTTTTACTTCCTGATGATCAAAGAGGCCGTGTCCTGAGAACTATTACAACGTCAGTGAGTCTTGTAAACAGGTTTTTAATGAGCTAGGTGAGTTTCCCATCTCCAAAAATAACACATCCAGGAAATGAGATGTCCTGGTTGCACTCAAGCGACCAAGACATGATGGAAGATATCAGAATAAATACTCTAGTTCATATTTCAGTTCTCTTAAAGTGTTTTGTTGGCAACATTTGTAAACTCACAAGTCACGCTTTCTTTTGATCTCACGTTTCAAGACGGATTTTTATGTTCTATGAAAGGCCTAGGGACAAATACTTAAAACAATTATACATACATTTTAGGGAAAGCGTCCATGAGAATGTCTGGGAAGTCCGATTGCAAATGTGTGTCTGCATTTTATACAGACAAAAGAGGTCTATTTTTGACCTCTCAAACAGGTTTTTTTTCCCCTTTTCAATTTAAGAAAACATATATTCTCTTTTATTTAAAGTGCATTGACAATAGGAACAAATTGATTGTCCTACTTGGCTGGAGCTAAAGTTGCCTAAATGATGATTGCTTATTTTCTCAATGACTGATGTGTGGACTGTCGTGTAACAAGTCGAATCAGCAGATTCCGTTTTAAAATGTGGTCGAAGATGTCCGAAATCTGAAAAGTCCCGCCTCTCTTGCTCTAGTTTTCTCTAAAATAAAAAGTCATAACAGTTTGAAGACACTGCTAATGCTAATCAGCGAAGCAGTAATTTTTGACTGTGAATTTTGATTCCTTTTTGGATTTAAACCAAAAAGACAATGTTGAAGAAAAGGCAAAGGCCCTGTACATATTTCTTCCTGATTTTAGAAACTCTGAATCCCATAGACCATTGTGAGACGGCGCCGGGAAGTTTTTAACCGAGCTAGGAGCATGGATGTATTTTATTTTATTATATGACTTGGACCGTACGCGCGCTCTGATTGGCTGATTACCGGTCTGATATTTTCCCATCTCAGACCGTTACCATGACAATTGGTCCGAACAGCGCGTATCACATTTGATATCTTTCCTCGGACCGTTACCATGACAATCAGTCCGCAGGGCGTATCACAATTGATTTCTTTCCTGAGTTTCCTTGGTAAAAAAAGAAATAATGGGCGACAACTGGGAGCATTCTCCCAGTGAATTCTATTGTCCGGACGAGTTTGACGAGCCAGAGGAAGAAAAAGAAAAACATAAAATAACTAACAGACAAGACTTCGTTACAGACCAGAAAGCTAAAAACACGATTAGGAAAACCAAGTCGGAGATCAATATTTGCATAAATTAAAAATAGTCATATAATAAAACATTTATTGACCTTGCTTTCTCGGTCTTTACAGAGAAATATCAGACTTTGGCCTTTTTGCACAGACCTCGCCACGGCTCGGTCTGTACATTAAGGCCGCAGTCTGATATTTTTCCGTACAGACCTTGCGCTCGATTAATAAGCCGTTAATCTGGAGAGTGTAATGCTAGTTTAAGCCTGTCTCCGTATGGACAAGAGGCCACCTGTGGTACTGCAGCTGGAACCCACACAGGCTAAAGAGATTTTCCTCATTGACCTCAATGTAAACTTAACCAACTCGCCCTACCTTGGCAAAACCTACAGCTTTCACAAAAATGGGATAATGTTAGGATTATAGTGTCCCTCGTCATCCTCAACTTTTCTTTCTTTCGAAAGTGCAACAAAGCTGGCTCTCTCTCGTCCTTCTCTAGTCTTGCGCTCCGGGAGGTCCAGCACCAGTCAAAACTTCTGCTAATGTTTGGAACAATCCATGGTGCGAGGCCATACATTTTAATGGGCAGACATCTTGGAGACTTGTGGCTTGGTCAAGACTTTTCTCAAAAAAATAATATTTATATTTATATTTATATTTAAATATTTAGAATTTTCCTGAAAGTAGTATTAGTATATGGATTGTATGTATTTTTCTGAAACTATTGGACCTAGTAGCTCCACCCACTTCCAATCTCAATTGGCAGAGCTAAAATAAAAAAAAAAAAGAAACATCTAATCGTTTTATTGCCTGGCCGCTATAACATTAACTGAGTCAATGTGTTAACTTGACTCAGTTAACACATTAGCTGCCGTAGTATGAGCTGTCCATCCCCACATTCAATGACATTTTCTATTTCAATATTAACAGTCTATGTTTGGGACTAACAGGTTTACGCTCTGAACCAAACACTATACCAAGAGAACATGTCTCCGGAAACCTGCGTCAATACTTTTGGTCCTGGAGTTGCTCCTTTAAACATGGGTTCTACTTGTTCCTCGCGGTTTTGGTCGCGGTCATTGCGGCAGCGGTAGTGTTGCTGGTATTGGCGGTGGTGGTCTTGCTGGCGGTGCTGGCGGTGGTGGTCTTGCTGGCGGTGCTGGCGGTGCTGGCGGTGGTGGTCTTGCTGGCGGTGATGGTCTTGCTGGCGGTGGTGGTCTTGCTGGCGGTGGTGGTCTTGTTGCCATGGTCGGGCAGCGCCGGCTTGAACCTGTGCTTGTAGCCATAGGGCCGCAGATGGTAGGTCATGTACTGGAGCGTGTACATCTCCACAGAGTGGATGTAGTGGAAGGACACGGCATGGTCCGAGCAGCAGTTGGGCCCCTGGAAAACAGAAGAGGTTAGAGGCGGATCAGGCACACGCTCTGGAGTCACAGAGAGAGCCAAAGGGACTGCACCATTTTTGCAAAATATCAGATTGCGATAATTCTGACAAACACCACGGCCATAGAGGCTCACTGCAATATTCTGTGTTTAAACACTTCAAGAGAGTTCCGTTTGAAAAAGTGTACATAAGGCTCAGTTGGATGTTTTTACCCTCTCAAAGTGAATAGTAGTAGTATAGTGGTTTGTCTTCCACTATATTTACTTCACCTCTCTATACAAAAAAACCCAAAACAGACAAACTAGAATGTTGTGAAAAAGCTTTGCAGTGGTTGTCACTTCAGAAAGGTTAACGCTTATTTCACATAAATAACATTTTGGTGAAGAATCCAATTGGAAAGGCAGGGTCAGTTCATACACAAGGCAAAGCAGGACAGAATCATGCAAGGACATTACATTTTCTCTAAATGTGTTTTTTTCAGTGTGGGAGATACCATTCACAAAACATTTCATCTTAGTGAAATTGACACAATTAACTGTCAAATTAACGGAGCATCGTATTTGTTCCAAAACATGAAGAAATATGTTGATTGTCGATTATCAAATCTGCATTAGTTTCTAGGTTCTACTCTTAGAGATTTCTCTGGAAAAACACATTCTAATCACAGACTATTCTAATTGTTCTATTCTATTCAGCCCTAGTGGTGTTCATTTGATTCAAGTTAAGGTACGTCACTTTTTTTATTCTGTTAAATCATTTGTTGTGTCAGTTGTATGTACTGGTAAACCGGACTGTTTTTAACCAGATTTGAACATTTTCATGAAGATTGTAACAGATTTTAGCTGCATGAATCTGAAATGCTACCTCCCCTTGTTCTGACTATGGGCATCAGCAGGAGACCCGCCCGTGTTTTTCACACTGATCCAGACCAGAGCAGAGAGGACCCCAACCAAGCTGACACCTTCTTCTTCTTCTGTATCTACAGTATCATGTTATTTCATGATAAACTGGTATCATGAAATGCCATGATAAACTGGTATCATGAAATAACATGATATTATCATGTTATTTCATGAAAGTATCATGAAATAACATGATACCAGCGAAAAAAAAAATAACACTCACAAGTGAACTTAACAAGCTTCCGTAAATAAGAACTAATGAACACTGCCAACTTGATCCCATGTGTCATGCATCAGTGCAACATCCTTAATTTATATCAGAACGTGCAATGACCACATGTCACTGTCACTTCACTGATGTAAACATACTGCTGCTTATGTACAGATGTAAACATACTGCTGCTTATGTACAGATGTAAACATACTGCTGCTAATGCACAGATGTAAACATACTGCTGCTAATGTACAGATGTAAACATACTGCTGCTAATGTACAGATGTATACATACTGCTGCTAATGCACAGATGTAAACATACTGCTGCTAATGTACAGATGTAAACATACTGCTGCTAATGTACAGATGTAAACATACTGCTGCTTATGTACAGATGTAAACATACTGCTGCTAATGCACAGATGTAAACATACTGCTGCTTATGTACAGATGTAAACATACTGCTGCTAATGTACAGATGTATACATACTGCTGCTAATGCACAGATGTAAACATACTGCTGCTAATGTACAGATGTAAACATACTGCTGCTAATGTACAGATGTAAACATACTGCTGCTAATGCACAGATGTAAACATACTGCTGCTTATGTACAGATGTAAACATACTGCTGCTAATGTACAGATGTATACATACTGCTGCTAATGCACAGATGTAAACATACTGCTGCTAATGTACAGATGTAAACATACTGCTGCTAATGTACAGATGTAAATATACTGCTGCTAATGTACAGATGTAAACATACTGCTGCTAATGTACAGATGTAAACATACTGCTGCTAATGTACTGATGTAAACATACTGCTGCTAATGTACAGATGTAAACATACTGCTGCTAATGCACAGATGTAAACATACTGCTGCTAATGTACAGATGTAAACATACTGCTGCTAATGTACAGATGTAAATATACTGCTGCTAATGTACAGATGTAAACATACTGCTGCTAATGTACAGATGTAAATATACTGCTGCTAATGTACAGATGTAAACATACTGCTGCTAATGTACAGATGTAAACATACTGCTGCTAATGTACAGATGTAAACATACTGCTGCTAATGTACAGATGTAAATATACTGCTGCTAATGTACAGATGTAAACATACTGCTGCTAATGTACAGATGTAAACATACTGCTGCTAATGTACAGATGTAAACATACTGCTGCTAATGTACAGATGTAAATATACTGCTGCTAATGTACAGATGTAAACATGCTGATGTTAATGTACAGATGTAAATATACTGCTGCTAACATGTACAGATGTAAACATACTGCTGCTAATGTACAGATGTAAACATACTGCTGCTAATGTACAGATGTAAACATACTGCTGCTAATGTACAGATGTAAACATACTGCTGCTAACATATACAGATGTAAACATACTGCTGCTAATGTACAGATGTAAACATACTGCTGCTAATGTACTGATGTAAACATACTGCTGCTAATGTACAGATGTAAACATACTGCTGCTAATGTACAGATGTAAACATACTGCTGCTAATGTACTGATGTAAACATACTGCTGCTAACATGTACAGATGTAAACATACTGCTGCTAATGTACAGATGTAAACATACTGCTGCTAACATGTACAGATACTAACACATAATTGCAAATTGCTTGCACTAGAATACACAGTACTTTATACTTGCCTCTTATTTTGCCATATGTAAAACTTTTATACTTCTTTTTATTATTATTTTTAAGATTTAGTTTTCATACTTATAATGCAAGAGTTAGAGATTTAGTTTTATTTTAAGTAGTTTAGCTATTGTTCACTTAACTTGTGCTGTGTGCTCCTCAGTCCTACTGTTCTAAAACTTGTGATCCAACACTGACATTTCCCCACTGTGGGACGAATAAAGGATCTCTTAATCTTGTTTATAAATATCATTTAAAAAAAAACACAAACATGCAACCAACCCTTTAAAGATTACATTACATTAAAAGGCTCCAATACTAATAAAAGCTGGGGTACCTAACTTTCAAACAACAATAATCAAACTCTGTAAAAAAAAAAAAATCAAACCAGTTTAGAAACTAGTTTGGATTTACTATGACGTAAATCCGTTGTATTATGAACCCTCTTATTGATGGTGCATTGTGAATTGGGTGGCAGCTCTGATTGACACCCCCCTGAGCCAAAAAAGAAATTAGAAAATAATGCAATGGTTTCATATAGCGCTTTTTTGGGCACTTCACATGTCATTCTTTCACTCCATACACAATGATGATAAACTACTACTGTAGCCACAGCCGCCCTGAGCCACAGTGACAGAAGTGAGGCAACCAGTATGTGCCATCTGCCCCTCCGACCACCACCAACCATTCACACACACACACACCAGACTCATTCTAGGCGATGGTGGTGAAGAAAAGACACAACAACAGTTTGACAGCCACAGCCGTACCTAATGTTCCCAGAGGTCTCCCATCACATTACTAACCAGGCCATGCTCGGCTTAGCTTCAGAGGTCTGAGGGAATCTGGTTTTCACATGCAGGTATGTATCTATGATTTGGCACACTCAGAGCTAAATCAAATGCACTGTCAAATATAAACACTTCGTTGGTTTTCCCTCACCTCTCCCGTGTATCGTCCGGCTCGGCTTTATAATCTATAATTAGGGATAATTAGTGTTCACTCCAGTGGGGGCGGGTACCGGCTCAAAAGTGGCCAAAATGACGTGCGCTGACATGCTTGCAATACCACCCCGGGCCGATGGGAGTGGACCCTGAATAAGAATTAGCCAATGCTAACATATAGCATTATTAGCAGACCTCTCGAAAACGTCTTTACAGGATAGTTCAAAAGTCGGCTCTTGGCCCAAAGCTCCGTTCCACATGTGTGTCAATGCTGGGGGGGGTGAATTTTTTTGGACCACTCTGGTTTAGTCGCTGTGAATTTTTGAAGGCACTCATTCAAATGAATTGGGCTCTCGCCAGCTGACGCATGCGCAGATGCGTTATTTCACAACTTTCTTGTGGGCGGGACCACTCGCGATCATTTTGGATAGCTCCAGTAGAGCAACATTTTTGGCTCATTTGTCCCAACGGCAGAGATAGGCATGACTACGTCCGATAAAATATAGAGTCTATGGTTCACTCCCGTGTCACTCAGGCTGAAGTATTGTCACATAACCAGTTCCAGTTCTTTATATGCCTTTTCTGTAATTAGTGTGCTTTAAAAAAAGCATTCAAACCGGTTATAAGGACAGTCAGCCGCTGCAGCAGTGTAAACAGAATCATTCATTAGAGATAATGGACTGTACCAAAACCAATAGAGAAAAAAGAGGCCGCTTAATGACACTGAATTATAACAAAATATATACAGACATGACAGAAAATATCATACCCAAAGGAGAGATGGCTGGAGAGAGAGAGAGAGAACCCTAGAGGCTCTGGGCCTCAGCATTAGGCTGCTACATGTTGCATAGAGAGTTGTCACCGACCAAGAGCCCAAACTAGTTTATCCCAGCTATCTATACTGCTGTGAGGTTACTCCCAGGTTCCACTGGATTGGTCAGGGGGGGTTAGCCAGGAGCAAGCCATCCCCCATGGAGGGGAGACATGGGCATCAGATAATGGGGAAAACCCATACCAACACATCCCCTGAGGGGACTGTTCAGTCTAACTTATAATGTGAAACCCATATTTGGCTCATTCCACACAAAACAGCGTCACTGGAACAAACTTTGTTGGATGTTATTGTGATCTATTTTTTGTTTTTTTTAATTTCTTAGATGTTCAACAATATGCGGTCCTGTTGAATGCAGTGAGAGCCGTCACGGGCAAACTCCCTGAATGTTACTCTTATACAAACTGGGACAGGGGTGAAAATGGA